AGTAAACTCTCAATGGCTGCAAGCAGATAAAAGTTAACGCAGAATCCTTAGAGTTAAGTGGTAAATTCTCTAAGTTTCCGCAAAAAAGAAGAGCCGTGACGAGCTTAAATCACGGTGGCACAACGGAGCTTGCAGCGACGCCCTGGCACGGCGCCATCTTGGTAGTTTCTCATAGTACGCAAAGCAAAAACGCCTAATCTAGTGGGACGAATAAGCCTGGTCAGAGCAGTCATTAAATGAAGTGGATACGGACTGTTGTGGAGACAGTGGCTCAACAGGTGTCTATTATTGGAGTGGACTGGAAAAATTATATTTGGGGTCTATTACAATTGTGGCTTGTACATCACTAGGCTGGCTGCATATGTTGAAAGTGTGTGCCCGTTGGAACCCAATGGAGGAAGAGGGCAGCCGGCCATCCAACAGCTCAGGGTACTGGGATAGGGGCCCACAAGGGGAGCTATGGGATCCACCTGTGGGACCTGAGCCATCCTCTCGCCAGAACAGGCAGCAAAAAAGTCAAGCGATGCTGAGAGAGGAGAAGCCAGTGTTTGCCCAGGACGATTGGACACTGGATGTATTTTAAAGAACTTCAATATGAACATTCGTTAAAACACAAGTCCCAGTCCAAAGCGTCTTATAAACTCATATCGCACGTTATCTCTACACAGAAAGTAAGTAAAGTTCTCACATTCAAGATCTGCTGAGTAGGGATGGATTCAAAAGTCATGTTCACCACTATTCGTCACCTATTGTATGTGTCCAAAAAAAAAGATGGAACCCTCCGTCATGTAGTGGCATTACTGACTGTTGAACCAAAAGACTTTGCCTTGATCGCCACCCCCATCCCCCGGATCCAGGAAATTTTGGAAAATATCGGGCGGCAAACTCACGGGGGGCAAATCATGGTTCAATGACTGGATCAAGGCAAGGCATACCAATCCGGGATTTGTGTGTGAGCAGAGGCCGCCATCCTTAGGAAAATCCGCAAGACGGACGGGATCAGTCCCAAGCTCTCTGAGGTCCTCACCTACATTACAACCTGAGCCTTCAGCCCTGGAGAAGGTGTCCCTGATCCTGTGGAAGACCCTCTTGTGTGATCCCGGTTCCTTAAAACCGCGCAAGCCAAGGAACCGGCTCACTACAGACCAGTCGCACTGGACCTTCCCACCTGATGAAAGGGACAATGAAGCGGCTCATCTCAGCCCATCTCCGCTCTGTGGTCTAAGCCCACCCTGAACAGCTGCAGTTCGCCTACAGGCCCAATTATCGGACGTAGTTAGAGGACGCCGTTCAATCTACTTCCTGCAGCGGGACGCTCTCCCCCTGGAGCCCCACCGGGAGAGCTTGCCTTGTGAGGGTTCGTGTTCTTCGGACTTCTCCAGTGCTTTCAACACCATCAGGCCGAGGTACTGCTGCTGGGGGAAGATGGAGGATCGCAGGAGTGGACAGTAGCATCACTGCTAGACCATCGACTACCTCTCAGACCTGACCACCAGTCAACGTTGCGGTGTGGGTTCTGAGGTGTAGTCTGCAGTTGTGTGGCCCCATCTGGGCACTGTCACTCTCAACGTTTTCTCTTCACCCATCTACACTTCAGACTTCACATACGACAACACACAGCTGTCACCTGCAGAGTTCTCCGCCATAGTGGGCTGTGTGTTAGAGTGGAAACCAACTGGAATATCGTCAGTATATCACAGACTGTCGACTGGTGGAGCGCAACCACTTGTGCTTGAAACCCAGTAAGGACCAAGGAGATGATCATCGACTTCAGAGAAACCACTTCCCCACACGCTGCTGAACATCCAGGGGGGGACATTGAGCTTGTGGACAGCTTACGATTACCTGGGTGTTCACCAGTGGAGGCGGGGGGGGGGTCCCGGCTCAAAAGTGGCTAAAATGATGTCGCCGACATGCCTGCCAATTACCACCTCCGGGCGTGTGGGGTGGTGGACCCGGAATAAGAATTAAGCCAATGCTACATAGCACTAGTGGCCTGTTGGATAGCTCCAGTTAGAGCAATATTTATGGCCCCTTAGATTGTAAGGCGGAGGATCGCATGACTACTAGGGTTGGGCGATATTTTTTTTTGTACCGGCTTATAAGTAAATTAAATGATACAGAAAATTGCCTTTTATACCGGTGAAATCGATCATTTTTTAACACTGAAAACAGCGAGCGGCAAGACACGGTTGTGTGCGGCGCCACTTTAATGCGCATCTGCGCGGCCGTGTAGCAGAGAGGCGTGCAGGGACAACAACAACAGAGAGCAACACCATGCTGAGGGCGGCGCGTTTGAAGACCATTCGGTGAAGACCATGCAGATTGTAGAAGACATTTGTGCCAAAACTGAGGAGCTACCTCAAAATATTGGGAGTAGTTTGGGAAAACTAAGATCAAAAAGAAGCAATTGTGTGTAACCTATCGACAGTGGATCTAATGTTGTGAAAGCAGCAGCTGCCCTAAACCAGTGGTTCCCAAAAGTGGGGGTCCCGAACCCCCGGGGGGTCGCGGGGAACCCCTGGGGGGGGGGTCGCAAGATGATTTCCAAAAAAAAAAAAAAAAAAAAATAAAAAACATTTCGCTAATTAATAGCCCTAAATATTGATATAACATTTGATTTGATTTCAAAAGGACTACTTGTAAATAGATTGTGTTAGGAGAATATAAATTATTTAAATTACGTTTGTAATTTTGTCCAGTCATTGACAGCGTTCAATCAAAAATCAAGTTACGTAGCTTACGTTACGTCCCACGGCAGCGAACAAAGCGGTGTCCAGCAGTTGTTTGCTAAAAACCTAAATGGTGTTTGGAGGCTTCAAACAAATAATAACCTGCTTTTTTAAAATGAACGTGGTAATATCCATCTACAGAAAAACCCGGAGGGAGAGAATAAGTCACATGTTGAGGTCAGGCTCCATGGTGCGAGAAGAGGGAGATGAGGCGCGGAGGGAGACGAAGGCAGCGGTTTAGAAGCAGGGAGAAGAGGGTGGTTTAAAGAGGCCCGGCTTTTCGGACGTCAGTGGTAAAGAGGTCGCACATTAAAAGCGGGTGGGCGGGTGGACCTGCTTTATGCGGTTACTTACAGTAACTTTGGAAAAGAAAGCCGCGGGGGAGATGAAAGCGCAAAAGTCAACAGCAGAGAAAGCGGGGGGCCGCCCGCTTTTTATGTGCGGACCTCTCTTTACGTCTGACTACGAAAAGCCGGGCCACTATACCACCTCATCTACCAGCTGACTTCTCTCCCTCGCTGCCCCTCTCTCCCTCTCTTCGCACCATCAGCATGACCCTCAATGTGATTTTCTCTCCCTCCGGGTTTTTCTGTAGTGAGATATTAACCACGTTTCATTTGAAAGCAGTGTTTATTTGTTTGAGCTCCAAACACCTTTAGTTTTAAGCAAACAAAAACAAGATGGTCACGCTTGTGCTGCGTGCGTAAGCTACGTAACTTGATTTTTGATTGACGGCTGCCTCAATGAATGGACAAAATTACAAACGTAATTTAAATATTTTATATTCTCCTAACACATTAACAAGTAGTCCTTTTGAATCAAACTCAAATGTTAAATCACTAGTTAAGGGCTATTAATTAGCTAAATGTTTTTTTTTTTTTTTTTTTTTTTTGGATACTATCTTGCGACCCCCCCCAGGGGTTCCCTGCGGAACCCCCCGGGGGTCGGGCCCTCACTTTTGGGAACCACTTGTTTAGGGGCAGCTGCTTTCACAACATTAGAAATCCACTGTCGATAGTTACACACAATTGCTTCTTTTGATTCTAGTTCCCAAATACTCCCATATGTTTTGAGGTAGCTCGCGTTTGGGCACAATGTCTTCTACACTCTGCATGTCTTCACCATGGTCTTCACCGCCGCCTCAGCCATATTGTTTGCTCTCTGTTGTTGTTGTCCCTGCACGCCGCTCTGCTAACACGTGCCGCGCAGATGCGTCATTAAAGTGCGCCGCACACAAACCGTGTCTTCGCTTCGCTGTTTTCAGGTGTAATGATCGTTTTCACGGTATAAGGCATTTTCTTTATCATTTAATATACTCTATAACGGTACAAAAAAACATGCCCAACCCTAGTAGTCATGGCTATCTCCGCCTTACAATCTAATGGGCCAAAAAAATACTTGTCTACTGGAAGCTATCCCTAACATGGCCACAAGTGCTAGGTTAGAAGTTGGCTAAATCTTATTCGGGTCCACCCCACCGGCCCGTGACGGTGGTATTTGCAGCATGTCGGCGCACATCATTTTAGCCACTTTTGAGCCGGGACCCGCCTCCACTGGTGAACACCCCAGGTAATTTAAGCTGCTCCCCCAGCTCAATGTCTCCACCCTGGATGTTCAGCAGCGTGTAGGGAAAGTGGTTTTCTCCTGAAGTCGAAGATCATCTCCTTGGTCTTACTGGTGTTCAAGCACAAGTGGTTGGCTCACACATGTCGACAGCTGTGATAAAACTGACGATATTCCAGTTGGTTCCCCTTTTTCAAAAACCACACAGCCCACGATGGCGGAGAACTTGCAGGTGGACAGCTGTGTGTGTGTCGTATGTGAGTCTGAAGGTCGTTAGATGGTGAAAGTTGAAACGGTAGGAGAGGACCAGTCCCTGATGGGGCCCAGAACTGCCGCAGACTACCACCTCTGAACCCACAGCCGCACGTATCTGTGGGTCGGTCTGAGAGGTAGTCGATGGTCCCTGCAGTTGATGGGCTACTGTCCACTCCTGCGACCTCATCTTCCCCCGCAGCAGGAGTACCGGCCTGATGGTGTTGAAAGCACTGGAGAAGTCGAAAGAACACGACCCTCACAGCGCTGCCCGGTGGGCTCCAGGTGGTCGAGAATTTTGGAGCGTCCGCTGCGAGATAGTATGATGCGTGGCGTCCTCTACTCCGATATGGGCTGTAGGCGCACTGCAGCGGAGTCCAGGTTGGGGCTGACCCACAGAGCGGAGATGGGTTGAGGGGATGAGCCCGCTTCATGGCATCATCATGTGGGAGGTCAGAACCCCACACCCCCCCACTCCCCCCCCCCCACCCCCACACCCCACACCCCCCCCCCGCACCCACCCCCCCACCCCCCCCCACAAACCCCCCCCACCCCCCCCACCCGACCCCCACCCCCCTCCCCCCCCCCACCCCCACCCCCACCCCCCAAACCACCCCCACCCCAACCACCCACCCCCCACCCCAAACCCCCCCCCCCCCCCCCATCCCCCAACCCACCACAACCACCACCAACCCCAAACACCCCACCCCCCCCGTTCTGTAGTGAGCCGGTTCCTTGGCTTGCGCGGTATTAGGAACCGGGAGCACACACTAGGTCTTCCACAGGACAGGGACCTTCTCCAGGCTGAGGCTCAGGTTGTAGATGTAGGTGTGGAACTCAGAGAGTGGGACCGATCCCGTACGGGGCTTGCGGATTCCTAGTAATGGGTCGGCTCTGCCTCACACACAAATCCCGTGGTATGCCTTGCCTTGATCAGTACAGTGAACCATGAGTTGGCCCCCCGTGAGTTGTCCCCGATATTTTCCAAAATTTCCTGGATCCGGGGGAAGGGTGGGCGGTGGCGATCAGGCAAGTCATTTTGGTTTCAACAGTCTGTAATCCACAACATAGACCGGAGGGTTCCATCTTTTTTTTGGGACACATTACAATAGGTGACGAAATAGTGTGAACATGACTTTTGAATCCATCCTTACTCAGCGTCTTGAATGTTGAGACTTTACTTTCTGGTAGAAGATGACGTGCGATAGGAGTTATAAGACCTTTGGATGGGTACGTATGTGTTTTAACTGAATGTTCATTGAAGTTCTTTAATAATCAGTGTCCCAATCGTCCTTGGCAAACACGTGGCTCTCCTATCTCAGCAACTGCTTGACTTTTTTTGCTGCTGTCTGGAGAGAGATGGCTCAGGTCCACGGTGGATCCCATAGCTCCCCTTGTGGCCCCTCCCATGTACCCTGAGCTGTTGATGCCGTGCTGCCCTCTTCCTCCTGGGGTTCCATCGGGCACACCTTTCAACACTATGCAGCCAGCCTAGTGTTGTACAGCCACAATTGTAAGAGTCCAATATTATTTTTCCAGTCCACTCCAATAATAGACTCCTGTGAGCCACTGTCCCAAAAACAGTCGTATCCACTATTTAATGACGCTATGACCAGGGGGCATATTCGTCCACTGCTTAGCGGTTTGTCTTGCGTAGTACTAGGTGAGAAACTCCAAGATGGCGCCGTGCCAGGAGCGTCGCTGCAAGTGCTCCGTTGTGCACCGTTGATTTAAGTAGTCAGCGGCTCTTCTTTTTGCGGAAACTTAGAGAGTTACCAATAACTCTAAGATTCTGCTTAACTTTCATCGCGGCACCAATGAGAGTTTACTTGTTGGTTCTGTGACTGTGTGGTTTCGTAACATCACAAATAAAGAAAAGAGCGTTAAAAAAGGTTCTTCGCTCTGCAAAGAGGGACTGTGGGCTGTACGTTCTGTTCTGGAGGTTTTTATGAATCCAGACTCTATAAACAGAGCTATTAAAATCATCAATGACATCTTTCTGGCCACCCTGGGAAAAAGCCTGTTTCCAGCTTCTTCCCTCTGGAAGAAGATATCGGTCGCTGAGATGCAGACATCTCGCTAACAGAGAACTTTAATTCCTGCTATGACCCCTTGTATCGTTTTTGTTGATCGGTTGCCACCGGGACAAGCTGTTGTTTTTTATATTCTTTTATTTTCAGTGTAGGTGTATTTTATATTACATTGTATCCGTGCTTTTGGTCTGTCGGTGCACACAGAGTACCTTTTTGCAAATGTTTTCCAATGTCGTTTTTATACTGCACATGCTAATAAAATGAATCTGACATCGAGGGGGCTCTGTCCTGGTAGAACTGGCTTCAGTTTACCAGATGTACCAAAGGTCAATTTAATTAGACGAGGCTGAACATGAGTGACTTTACGAAAGCCAATAAGCCCAGTGGTCAGAACTGCCACATTTATAACTGTGGTTACACTTGCCTTGAGGATTGGTGATCTGGCAATGATGACACCTTCCCGGGGGTCTCTGGCGTTGCCTGAAAGTTCCTGCCCGAGCGGCGTGGTAAGATCTGTGTGGTGTGGGGGTCTTTGGGCTTGCTGGAGGCCTGAGAGAGCTGTGTAGACTTGTTGTATAGCTTCACAGATTGCTTTTATTGCCTTTGATCATTTTTCCGTCAAAGTCTCACGTTTTTGGGGGGTTCACTGGGCATGTTATTGTGGATGTGGGGCTGTGCTCTCCCTGTTAAATGTAAGGTCCTCCACCATTGCAGAATAATCACTGCTTTGGACTGGTCGCTAATTGGTTTTTTCATTCCGATTTCCAGTGTGTATGCATCTGTAACTTTCTCCAACAGCACTTCAGACACATTTAATCTCGTAGATATGGCTTTAAATCAGTTCTTATGGTGTCTGTCAATCGCCTGGTAAGTACAGTTTGCAAAGAATTGAATCTGTGATAAATCCGGGTGTATTTGGTCCCACTTTGGGCCCTTTCGGATAGCAAATAAAATTTGCCGTCTTAAGTCCATTGCTCCTGAGCACAAACTGAATTGGTGTCTCCCTGGGAGTCCAGTTCTGTCCAGGACCTACTGTAACATTATTTAGTGCTTTTTGGATCTTGACTCTCCAAACTGGGAATATCCAAGTTTGTCTTTTTGATGTTGGTTCACCAACTGTCCCATTATACGTTCAGTTCTTTTCTGTACAATTGGTGCACAAATGGTGGTTGGCATTAAATGGAGTCATAGTCACATGGAAACGGCACTGAATAGTGGGTGCAGCACGCGGGGCAGATGCACTTTGGGTTATGTGATGCAGTACTTCTGTATCCAGCAGAGGGAGAGCTGGCGCCGCAGGAAGTAGCTGAGGGTACAATCTTAATTCATCAATGCGGACAGTAAACTATGAGCAACAACGATAATCCTTCATCCTCGGAGCGAGACAACATCTTCTCCTTCCAGATTCTGTAGTGATAGTCCTCATTGCAACGAGGCTAAGGTCCTTGTCCTCTTCACTACAGATGCTCCCAAAGATTGGAACAAAGATATATTAAATCCGCAGCACAGACAAAGTCATTAGATTTTCCTCAATCCGTCCATTGCATTCTCCAATCTCCGACATCTTCGAATGTTAAGTATACATATTTGTAAAGTTTTTACCGTGCGTACAGGTAAACAGCTTCAGTCTCGTGAGTGCGCTGATGCCTCTGGCCTGAAGCTGGTGGCTTTGTAGGGGTTAAACTCCAAACTCTGCTCTTTTCCACAACAGCGTCGTTCCAATGCGATCTCCCAAACCCGAGCAGAATCACCAAGATTCGAAGTTGCACTCTTAAATGACCAGGAACAATACAAATAGTCGTTTTACAACGTTTTTGGTCCCCGTTCCGAGTCACCGGTAAAGGCTACGAGGGTGACTAAATCATGATCGCACCCGTCAAACACTCACTAGTTCGCAGGTGTGGCCGTGGTTGATACATTTGCAGCTAGCCCCTCAATGATAAAATACGTGCATAGATTTATTAATATCAATCAAATTCAATCAAAGTTTATTTGTAGCAGCGCCTTTATACACGGGCAACACAAAGCGCTTCACAGTCCCACATCCAAAAATCATCACATAAAAACAAACACCAGAATCACAATTTAAAACATTTTAAAATCCACACAAAAGATTAAAACACAATTAAAACATTAAAATCACACTTAAGAATTAAAACATTAAAAACTTTCAAAATTTACAAGAAATTTTTTACAAAAAAATAAAAAAATTGACAGCACGTGCATTTAAAAATGGAGAATAAAATCCCTTCAGTTATATGCACAGGCAACAGAAACAGTCTTTAACCGGATTTGAACATTGACAGAGTAGAACGCATCCCTACATTTTCAGGGAGATGCCTGTTCCAGATCTTAGCTGCATGGATCTGAAACGCAGCCTCCCCATGTTTGGTTCTCACCTGGGCACCTGCAGGAGGCCAGTCCTGTGCTCCTCAGAGTCGGGCGGTTCATATGACACCAACATTGTCACTAATGTATTCTGGTGTTTAGCAAGGCCATGGAGAGACTTGTACACAAGCAGAGCGTTTAAAATCTATTCTTTGAGCCAACAGGAAGCCAGTGAGGGACTGAGGACTCGGACTAATATGGTCATACTTCCTGGTTCTTTCCAGGACTCTAGCTGCTGCAATTTTGGATGTACTGCAGCTGCTTACAGGTCTGTTTGGACAGACCCTGTAAGCAGGCCATTGCAGTAGTCTAGCATGCTGGAGACAAAATGCATGGACAAGAATCTCCAAGTCTGACCCTGGACACTATATTTCTAACTTTGGCAATGTTCTTCAGATGTAAAAAGCTGGTGATGTTATTGATTTTATGTGGCTATTGAAAATTTAGGTCTGAGCCAGTATTACCCCATATTTCTGACCTTGTCTGAAGGAAGTAGTTACGGAGAGGAGGACTGAAGTGGACAAATGGACGCCCTCTCTTGGTTTCTGGGGACCAAAGGACAATGATTTCGGTTTTGTCTGCATTTAGCTGGAGGAAATTATGTTGCATCCACGTCACTGATCTGTTGGATTACAGTAAGGAGCATATTCAGTGGTCCAGTTCTCCTGCAGTCAGTGAGACATTGATCTGAGAGTAGTCAGCGTAATTGTGGTAGGACACTTTGTTTCTTAGTATTAACTGACCTAACGGTCAAGCATGTAGAGAATTAAATAGTGAAGGGTCCCAGGATCGACCCTGTGGTACACCACAGGTCAGGGCCACATCATCTGAGACGCCAAGTCTCCAAATCTCAACAGAGTACTTCCTCTCCTCCAGGTAAGACCTAAACCAGGTCTAGGGGACTGTGCCAGAGTGGACACCAGACCAGTCCTCCAGTCTCTGCGATGAGGATCTCATGGTCGACAGTGTCGAACGCGGCACTAGAATCTAACATGACCAAAACTGTGACTTCTACCTGCTAAAACAGTGTGAAGTTCGGAATGTCGTTTGTTACTCTTCATAGAGCGGTCCAGTGCTGTGGTGGGGTCTAAACCCAGACTGGAAACATATCAAAAGAATTATCATTGTTAAAAATTCAGTAAGTTGTTGGTGAGCCACTTTTTCAAGAATTTTCCAATAAATGGCCAGTTAGATGATGGGGCGATAATTTTAAGTCCCGCAGGATCCAGACTGCTCTTTTTTAGGAGAGGTCTTATGACTGCTGTTTTAAGGCCATATGGAAATGTTCCTGACATGACAGATACAAGTATTACAATGT